TGTGATTCCTGCAAGGACAGGATTATTTTTTTGTCCAATTACAGTTGACATAAAATATTATATTAGTTTTAGGAGTACAACATAGTGATTAGACATTTATATAACTTTCAAAGTGATCACACTGATAAGTCTAGTACCCATCTGACACCTTACATAGTTATTAAGATATTATTGACTATATTCCCTATGTCATCTATTACAAAGGATAGGATTCTTACCTTCCATATAAGCCCAGAGTTTTTAGAATGTATAATTTAATAAAACAAATAAGAAGTCTTAAACCTGTGGCACTGACTCTGCCACCATCCAGTCGTTCGATCCTAATGAATCCTGTGTCTCTTTCTTTGTACAGTGTACTCAAGCTTACCAAGTTGATAAACTAAGTCGATATCAACTAAGATGACATCAAGTTTATCAACAAAAAAATTTTAGAAATAAGTAAAAGTATTGGATTGACTCAGTGAGAAAATAGGTCATTTTCACCCATCTCAAGTTAAACCAGAAAAGCTATTCCACTTTCTTCTGTTTATTATTGACCTTCCAAATAAGACCTTATTTAAAGTGCTCCTCAACTTAAAAAAAAAATTAAGTCATTGAATTGGATCATCTCTACTGCCTCCCAGTGGTAACCATCTAGAGTTAATGAAACTGTCTAAAATAGAATTTGTCCCTTCACTTTGGAACCATTTTCATATTCTTCATAAGTTCAATGCTCCAATATATAATGTAAACATGCATATTAAAATGTATGCACATATTCTATAATAAAAGGTTTGTACAAATATTTTTGAACTTTCCATCTCTTAGCATCAAGAGTAACGTAGTGTGATAGAAATTAGTAACAACGACATGGTAATTAACAAAAAACCTCCTCCCATCTGATGTGGACATTTTTCCAGTTTGAGCTTGACAGACCTGGATTCACATTCCAGCTCTGTCACTTACTAGCTGAGTAGCTAAGCCTCTATTTCATCATCTATAAACCAGAGTTATTTACCAGGATTAAGTTCAATGATGTAGAAAAACTCAATCCAGTGCCAAATACATGGTAAGCACTAAATAGATTATTCTCCAATCTGTACTTTGTCAGTATTCAAAACAAGAATGGATAGCATACAATTGTATTTAAAGCCCCTCCAAACTACAGTACAATTATTTTTAAACTCATCTCTGCAGTCTCATGCACCAGTTTTTCCATAAAAAAAGCCCCATATGGACTCGTAATGGGTTTTGTGCTAAGGACAGCATGTATCCATGCATCTCTACCTTCATGAGCTACAGCCTAGATGTGGGCCCAGGCCATACAATCATTGTTTACCACATGAAGGGATAAGGACTATAATAGAGAAATTCATTGGGCATATGAGATCAGATAAGGAGCAGTGAGATCACAAGAAGGGAAAAGAAAGATGCTTGAATTATTTTAAGAATAAAACGGGAATTCGCCAGGTGTCTGACTGGGGATAAGTGGGCAGATGAGTATGTGGCAGAAGATAAGACTCCAGAGGTGACTGTGATGGACTTTAAATGCCGTGTGGAAGGTTTGGATGCCATCCTGAGGATCATGAAAAGCTATAGATAAATTTCAAATGAGGTAGGGGAAGGGGAGAGTGTTAAAACCTAAGATTTAATTTAAAAAAATAATCCCTTGAAATATTTTAAAAGGTTGATTGGAAAGAAACAAAAATCTTAGATTCAATCTAGATCCCTTTTTCTACATCTCATAAGTGAATTATCAGCAAATCTTACATGGTTTAAATGTAAAATATATCCAGACTCTGACCACTTATGACTACCTCCAATGCAACCACCATTGTGTATACTTCCATTATCTCTCCCATCAATCACTGAATGATTTCCCAAATCATCTCCCACTCCATCCCCAGCCCACTATTCCTCTGCACCTCCCAGAGTGAGCCTATTAAAGAAATAGATCTGATGTCATTTCTTTGCTCAAAATCCTCAAAGACTGTCTTTTTCAGAATAAAGACCAAAGCCCTTACATACAAAGCCCTGAATGATCTCCCCTCACCTGCCAACACCCTACTCCTGCCTTTCTCACTTTATCTCCCTCTGATGTATCCTCACCCCTAACCTGCTTACTTCACTTCAGCACAGAACCATTGCTTTGTGAGTCAAAATTCAGACAGTGGCCCTAGCTGGTTTGGCTCAGTGGATAGGCCTGGGGACTGAAGGGTCCCAGGTTCTATTCTGGCGAAAAGGCACATGCCCTGGTTGCCGGCTCTATCCCCAGTAGGGGGCGTGCAGGAGGCAGCCAATCCATGATTCTCTCTCATCGTTGATGTTTCTTTCTCCCTCTCCCTTCCTCTCTGAAAGCAATAAAAATATATTTTAAAAAATGTAGACAGTGTCTGGAACACATTTCCTCTAATAGTTTACAAAGTAAATATTGTCCACAATTGAGTTTGTGTTGCCATAAGCTTTAAAGCCAGCCACTTACAAAGGTTTAAGGACAAACCGCACTAAAAAAGGAGCAGACATTTCTTCAGCTATTTTCTATAGGGTGGAACAATCCATTCTTATGCAGTTAACTATGGCTTGCGAGATTAAGATAATTTGAGCTCCACGCCCTTTGTTTACTGAGTCATATGTCTCATGATGCTTTTCAGTCATTGAATTTAAGATGTTTTCTATGAACTGAAGCAAAGTCAGCTCTAATGTCATTCCCATGGGAGGCTCATCCAAGCTAAGGCATGTGCTGACTCCAGCCTTTCTGGTTTTGTTTTCTGGGGTTTGGACCTCCAAGTTAAACTTTGTTTTTCAGTACTTCTCTCTTCACATCCCTAAATCTTGACATGTTCGCCTCTGGAAATAGTTAATCCCTGGTTGAGGAGGAGGCCCATCCATTTGAAATTGGTTTAGGTTTTTAGGTTTACCCTTGACTCCAGTGCTGTCTCCTTTTGGCTCTCCTACTGCTGGGCAGCCACTAATATTCACTGAACTCACAAATACCGAACACTATGCGCATTAGTGACTGCTTGTCATTGGTATGACCATCCCACAAAGCAACAGGAGTAAATAGGCTCAAAAGCCGACAAGTGTCAAAGTGCCAATTTTCTCCAAACTTGGAAATTGCCACGAGTGGTTCCTGAGCATTGGACTCTGGACCAGTGTCAGTGAGCGTCAGTTTCACTAGGAGAGCAAAATGAACAAATGGGAGCACTGGAGTAAAAAGACATCCTAAAACTAAAGTCTAATTATTCATCATCTCTTTTTTTATCATTCTGAGATTATGTCCTTCCTACTTTTACATATTTCAGTATCCTTCTACTAAATGATAATATTTGATCATGGTCAATTTTTTAAAATATATTTTTTATTGATTTCAAAGAGAGCTGAGAGCCTGGCCTCTCCCCGTTTCTGTCTTCCCACCTGTCCTTTCATATTTTTATTGATCTCAGAGAGGAAGGGAGAGGGAGGGAGAGAGAGAGAGAAGCATCCATGATGAGAATCATTGATTGGCTGCCTCCTGCGTGCCCCCTAATGGGGATTGAGCCTCAAACCCAAGTATGTGCCCTGACTTGGAATCGCACCATGACCTCCTGATTCATAAATTGATGCTCAACTGGGGAGCCACACTGGCCTGGCCAGAGGCATGGTCAATTTTTAATGTGCTTATTCAACAAAATTGAAAGTTGGCAATTCTATGTCCACCTCCAATAATCTGACATGTTACTAGTCCCAGGGCCATAACATATGATATGCAGGGGGTACATTGCAAAATGCCAGGAGGTACCCTTCCATAAGTCTGTGAGTTGGGCAGAGCCCAGAAACCACTAGGCAACCTGCTGTGAAACCTCAGAGCATTCCCTTCACACGTAGACCAGAATGTTGGCAAAACAAATGCAAAAAAATGAAAGTCAGACTATATTCTGGCTAAATGTAAAATACTTTCAGCTCAGTAAAAATCTTAAAATTTGAAACATGGCTAGGTGTTAACACATACAGCAAATATTTATAAATATCATAAATATTTATGAATCACTTATGTATGCCAGGTACCCTACAGAAGTGTCGGAAACATAGCATGAATACCATCTTTACTTTCAAGGTGCTCACAGCCTAGTGAATAACTGATTTAACTAGAAATATAACTAAAATAACCTTACTGACCTTCAAAACAGCCTTATGAGGCTGGTATGATTATTCCTATTTTTCAGGTAAAGGAAGTCTCAGATAAATAACAATATGATCACCAATCAAACAAGGGATAGAACAGGAATTCACACTCAGCTCTTCTGACGACCTCCCCAGCATGAGTGCGTGTGCAGTGAGAGGAAGGCAGTGTAAAAGATAGTACCTGGGCTGGATGCCGAATGCAATATCAGATACTATTGGATTACACTGCAGTTGACAGATTCATGAGAAAAAGGAATAAATCACACAAATCCTCTGCTGCTGGTGCAATTCTAATTCATTTTGGGAGCTTGCTACTCTCCTGGACCTCAGCTCTCAGCCTCTGGCCACATGCCCATTTTTATAATAAGGATAATATAACAGTGAAAAATGCTACTGCTCTGACTCCCTCCATCCTTGCCCCACTCAAAATGATCTCTTTCTATACAATTCTGAGGATGGTGCCCAGGTGAGGGAGATTACTATAGTAAGTGTCCCACATAGGGTCCCGGAAGAAGTTATAGCAAAACAGAGAATAATTTGGTTTCTATTCTTGAGAATTTCATCAACTGGAAGAAGGGAAAACAACTGCAAACCATAGGTTAGATTTCCTTATTCTTCTAGCAACTACATGTCAACAACATGCTGAAAAATTTTTGAAAGAAAAACCATTAAGGAGAATGTTGTCCAGGTCAGGTTTATTTCCAGGACTAAATTCCCATCAAGAATCACTTGGTTTTCAGTCCAGCCAACCCCATGTGCAAGCTAATAGGTTTAAGAAGACAGAACATGATCAAGAGCACTAAAATAATAGCTTCTCTGAGTGAAATAAGTAGCCTGTGATGTTTTTCTCTTGTTCAAAGGCCAGCTCGGGTGCCATCGACCTCAAGATTCCTGAATCCATATGTAGTGCTTTTTGTTGTTATCGCTGTGGTGTTAGTCCTGGCAGTGACGATAGGTCTGCTGATCCACTTTTTAGCTTTTGGTAAGTACCAGAAGATTAAAAGAGCCACTTTTCATTCTAAATAACTAAATATACTTGCAGATTAAAACCTGGGCTTTCCTTGAAGTCTTACCATTTGCAACAAAATGGATGAATGTAGAGGGTATTATGCTAAGTGAAATAAATTAGATAAAGACAAACACCATATGATTTCACTTATATACTGAACCTAAAGAATGAAATAAATGAACAAACCAAACAGAAACAGACTCAAAGATACAGAGAACAAACTGATGGTTGCAAATTGGTAGTTACAAAATAGTCAAAGGGGATGTAAAGTTCAGCATCTTGAATATAGTTAACATATTGTAATAACTATGTGTGGTATCAGGTAGGTACTTGAATTATCAGGGGGATCACTTTGTAAATTATATAATTGACTAACTACTATGCTGTACACCTGAAACTAATATTTTAAAAATTTTGGCCTTCTTTAATTGCCACTTTTAGTTCCTAATATAAGATAATTATATTTTTTTGCTTATAATCTCCTAACTATGTATTTGTTTCTATATTTTCCCTCAGTCTATATATTTTTCTCTTCTGTCTTGGCCTTTTTTTGTCTAATAAACATTATTACCCAGGCAAAAGTATTCTAGCCAAAGGAAAAAAAATTTCCTGGTACTTTTCTAATACTAGATTTTGCCTATTTTGATTTTTCATTAATACCATGATTCTCTTTTCATTTAGTAACCTGATAAAACTAAAGGCCTAATGCACAAAATTTGTGCAAGGGCCTTGGTTTCAGCCCCCTCCCTCTGCTGCAGCAGCCGGGGCCTCTGCTGCCTCTGCCTCGGCCCCCACCTGCTGCGGCTTTGTCTGAAAGGAAGGATGTCCAGTCTAATTAACATTTATGCTTTTATTATTACAGATTGTAAAAAAAAATGTTCTAAAGAACTTTAAGTTTCGAAAATATATACAGAGGCAAAGAAGTATCAAATAGACTGTCAAACTACAGTGGGAAGGCAGGGGAGGGTTGGCGGGGTGAGAGATCAACCAAAGGACTTGTATGCATGCATATAAGAATAACCAATGGACGCAAGACACTGGGGAGGAGGAGTGAGGACATGTGCTGGGGGGTAGGGTAGTCTGGGGGGGGGTGGTCAATAGGGGAAAAAAAGGAGACATGTATGCTACTATTTGTAATACTTTAAACAAAATAAAATAACCTTAAGTGTCAATCCTAAAATTTGGATGTACCTAAGTATTTGTTAATTTATAATCTGTCTTCTGAAAACACAATCTTACTAGCAGCGGTCCCTCCCCCAACCAGCTGGCCCCAATTGTCCCCACCACTGGCCAGACCGAGGGACCCCACCCGTGCACGAATTCGTGCACTTGGCCTCTAGTTTTATTATAAATACATTTATATTAAGTTTAAAGTGTTCTTTCATTTAATAGAAGCAAAATTTTTAAATTATGTAATATAGCCTCCCATAGTTCTGAATAAACTAAAGATTAAAGTACTTAGTAATGTGCTTTTTCTTTGTTTTACAGATAAAAAATATTACTTTTACTCTAGCAGCTTTGAAATCCCCAATGTTAAATATAATGATAAGTTAAACTCACCAGCTACCCAAGAGTATAGAAATTTGAGTGGAAGAATTGAATCTGCGGTAAGTTAATATTATCTCTGTTCTTTATTCCATCATAAAAAATATGATATTAAACCTATTATTTTTGTAATACATTTGCAATTGCTAGGTGCTCTACATATTTTTCTCTCTTCAAAGGTGAAAGATGTGTTTCTGCTTTTTCTAAGTTAATCTGCTAGTATACTAATTCTTATCCACATTTCTTAAGTCATGAGTGAAAAGTGTTAGAAGGGGCAGGATTATTAAAACACAAATTTGTGCACAGGTGGTCCCTCTGGGTGGCCTGCAGAGATTGGTGGAAACCCACAGTCCAATGCTGTCTGAAGCTCCTACCTGCTGCCCCCTCTCATCCCTGCCTCACTCTGCCTGCCATGGGCTCGAGCCCAATCAGTCCCAATTGGGAGAGGTTCATGCTGCCACAGCAGCAGTTGCCAGTCATGAACCCTGCATCTGGTTCCCTCCCAAGGGGAGTAGCCTGTGGGAACCAGCTGAAACTGGCTCTCCAACAACTCCTGAGGGGTCATGGATTGGGAGAGGGCACAGGCCAGGCTGAGGGACCTTACCAGTGCAAGAACGAGCTGGGGAGGGACTTTGGGAGGGCTTTAGGGTGTGTCCAGCCCATCTTACTCAGTCCTGATTGGCCAGACCCCAGCAGCAAGCTAACCCACCTATCAGAGCATCTGCCCCCTGATGGTCAGTGCACATCATAGCGAGTTGTTGAGCAGCCTTAGCATATCATTAGCATATTACACTTTGATTGGTTGTTCAGTTGTTCTGCCACTAGGTCTATTTGCATACAACCCTTTTATATATATAGACTAGAGGCCCGGTGCACAAAAATTTGTGCACTCGGGGGGATAGGGGGGGTCCCTCAGCCCGGCCTGTGCCCTCTCGCAGTCTGGGACCCCTCGGGAGATAACAACCTGCTGGCTTAGGCCTTCTCCCGGGTGGCAGAGGGCAGGCCCAATCCCTAGGTGCAGCCCCTGGTCGGGCTCAGAGC